AGTCTGGGCAGCAGAGTGAGACCCTGTCTCAAAAACAAACAAAAAAATAAAAATAAAAACAAAAATATATAGATAGGTAAGGCTTACCAGGAAGGGAACCAAAGCCCAGTTACCTTTCATCGGCCTGTAAGTGGAATATTGGCCAAGGTAATGGTGTCAAGATGTGGTTTGAGATTCTCCCTGGACTTGCCACCATGGGCTTGGCTTGCTCATCCCTAGAGTGCCATTGTGTACATCCATAAGTTCACTAATGGTGGCAAAGAAAAAAGAGTTGCCCATTGTATATATCATTGGCAGTTGATGGGAAGAGATAGGTGCATCTCTGGAGTTAATCACTACTATGTCAAAGGGTTTGTAGAACATTGATTAAAGAAGCACATATCTGACGAATGAAAAAATAACTCAGTATTGGTCATCTACCCCTACTAGAAGGTTATAAAGTGTCTTATATAGCATGCAGTATGTTACACAGTGCTTAATAAAAATAAAATAAGAAAAAATATATATGCCCACACACACACACACATATACAGGGTGGACATAAAGTTTTTATGTTCAATTTAAATTAGATTACTATTTAAATTGCACATGAACTTTATGTCCACCCTGTGTGTGTATGTATATAGTATAAAATTTTCCATTTTAATCATATAGTGTTCTACAACCATTACCATAATGAAATCATCTATTTCATTACCCCAAACAAAAACTCTAACCATTAAGCAATAACTCTCCATTTCCTTCTCTCCTCAGTCCTTTGTATGATTTTTTTTTTTTTTTTTTTTGCAGTTTTTGGCTAGGGCTGGGTTTGAACCCGCCACCTCCAGCATATGGGGCCAGCACCCTACTCCTTTGAGCCACAGGCACTACCTGATGTTTTTCTTTTTAGTAACAGTATAGTATAAATAATTTATCATTCTCTTAATAATATTTAATATGTATATTATTTCATATTTTGAGTCATTATAAATAATGTTAAAATAAACATCTTTGTTCGTATATCCTTATTTACTAATTTTACTTTTGTATGGAATATTTCTGAACTTGGAATTTCTGGATTAAAAGCCACATGCATATTCCATTTTTATAGCTACTACCAGGTTGCTTTCCCCCAAAATTATAGCATTTACACTTCACCAGCAATATTTGAGAATTTCCATTTCCCCACCCTGTCATCAGCTCTGAACATTATCAGTTTTCTTTATTTGTACAATTGGTAGGGGAAAACTGGTGTTTTATTGTTTTTATTTCCTGGAGGTTGAGCATTTGAATTTCCTCTCTTTTGCTTATTTTTTGAGTTGTTTTTGTTTTTCATATCAACTTGTAGTAATGATACCCCATTGTCTATCACAGTATTACACATATTTGGTCCCAGGCTAGGCCAAATACTTCACCCAGTCTATAGTTTATCTATGAATTTGTGATGTCTTTTTTTAGATTCCTTTTCTAGTTGGTCTTGTCACTCAGGATTCTGAATTCCTTTTCCCCCGATTGCCAGCCCATGTGCAAGGATGAAGAACATAGAAAACAGGCAGCTGTCTTTGTTTCTAAGTAGGGAGATAAGAAAAGATGAAGCTTAGCCTGTAGCTAGCCAGAAAAGAAAACAGCCTTCATATCAGGGGAATAAAACCCTTCAAGAATGATTGAATTGGCTCGGCGCCTATAGCTCAACCGGCTAAGGCGCCAGCCACGTACACCTAAGGTGGTGGGTTCGAATCCCCAGCCCGGACCCGCCAAACAACAATGATGGCTGCAACCAAAAAGTAGCCGGGCGTTGTGGCGGGCGCCTGTGGTCCCAGCTACTTGGGAGGCAGAGGCAAGAGACTCGCTTGAGCCCAGGAGTTGGAGGTTGCTGTGAGCTGTAATGCCATGGCACTCTACCCAGGGGGACAGCTTGAGGCTCTGTCTCAAAAAAAAAAAAAAAAAAGAATGATTGAATTTAGCTGAAGCACTGAAAATCCTGAACAGGAATCCTGAGTGCCAGCTAGCTTCTGAATAGGTTCATAGCCTCTTCAGACACTCTAGTTCTAGCTTCATACTTTTCCTAAACAAAGTCAGGCCCAGCCACTTCCAGCCTTGCCCTGAGCTCCACCTGCAGGTCTGTCTCTTCACAGCCTCCAGTAACTGCTGCCTGTGCCTCTTCCCTCTGCTCCTTTGTTGGTGTTATTCTCTTCTCTTCCTAAACTTGGCAGATAGGCTGGTCATTGGAGACCTCAGGCCAGCTGGTCATTGGAGTTTCCTGTGGTGGGAAAAGGGAATGCTGGAGGTGGTAATTGTAGTGGGCATGAGAAAAGGAGCAGGAAGGAGTGCATGAAAGCAAATGAGATGAGATTGGCAGGATTTCCCTGAAGTTGGCTCCAAAGTGGCCAGAAAAGGAGGACATTCTGAAGAAAGGGTCTTGGGGGAGAAAGTCTACTAAGTCAGCCCAAGCCAAATAATCCCTTGTTTAGGCTGCTCTTCTAGAAGAAAACACCCCCAACTTCTCAATCCTATGACTCAAGGCTTCAGGGATTGTTTTAGGTCCGATTTCAAAAACTGGCCTTTTTGTTTGGGCCTAAACAACTGCCAGACCAGGATTTGTGCTACTGATGTCTTGACTTGCTGGCAAGCCCTGCCTATAGTTCTAAAGATCTATCACTCTTACCTGCCTTTTTAGAAAACTAATTTTGCTATTTCACTCCAGCTCAAGGAATAAGAACCAAAAAGAAATCAGTAGAGTTTAAACCACTTTAACAAGAAAGATTACTGAAAGACGGGAAGAAATAGACCCCCAGGAGCCCTGTGAGATGGGACCAAGACAGCCATTCACTGAGTTCTGAAATGCCACACAACACTGAGAAGGACCACGGTTTCCTATATGCGCCTGGTAGCCTGAATAGGGATTATCAGGCAGGGCTGTGAGAGAGGATTTGAGTAAGGATTTGAGTAAGGTCCTTGAGAGTATGGGATTTTCTGTGCAAACTGGGAGAAATATGGAGAGTTGGGTGATAGGAGGAGTTGGGTCATTATACTCCATAGCAGTGATTCTCAACCTGTGGGTCATGACCCACAGGAACTGTATTAAAGGGCCGCAGCATTAGGAAGGTTGAGAACCACTGCTCTATATCATGAAACTTACTTCTGCATGTCCTCTAAAGTAACCACTCCTGGTGCTGAGTAGAGGGATGTTGTAAGTAGGAGAGAGAAAGTCTTTGATGAAGTGTCAGAGACTAATGAAGACAGAAAAGAAAGATGAAAGCATTCACAATTAATGAAAATCTTGCTTAACCTGCTTAACCACTGTAAGAGAAATGTTTCTTAGCCATCCCTTAAGCTTAAGGCTCAAGAACTCCATAATTCAGATACCAAAAAGAGAAAAATGGCAAGTATGTCTTGTAACTCCTACCACTTAAAACTAGGAGATGCTCCTGCATCCTCTGGAGCAAATGTCTGTGTCACTGGAAAAGGTTTGTCATATGCCTGCCCTTTGCCTCTATGCTCTTCTTTCAGGACTAAACAGCAGTAGAAAGAGTACTTCAGAGCAGACCTGGGACAAACTGCCAGGCAGTTGTCTAGGACCCAATAAGGCCTTAATGGTGACAGCTTTTTGGGTTACTTTTTTAACACATGAATGGGAACTGAACCCCTTTGCCTCCCCCCACACACACCCCATAGCATTTGTGTTCATTTCCAGCATGGTGCTAGTTGTCTGACCTCTGGCTTCTCCCCTCTTAATCACAGCTAAAATTCTCCTTCTCTCCCCCCAGCTCCAACTAGCCAGCCTTCACCCCTGTTTAGTTTGTCTCCTGTTCTCTGCTAATGTCTATTTAGTTAAGCTGGAAACAGGATTCTTGTTCTTTTCACATTGGATTTTTTGGTAATTTTGTTTTTTGAGACAGCATCTCGCTCTGTTGCCCTGGGTAGAGTACCATGGTATCATAGCTCACAGCAACCTCAAACTCTTAAGGTGGAGCCCGTAACTCAGTGGGTAGGGTGCCGACCACATACATCCAGGCTGCTGGGTTTGAACCCAGCCCGGGCCAGCTAAAACAACAATGACAACTGCAACAACAACAACAAAATAGCTGGGCGTTGTGGCGGGTGCCTGTAGTTCCAGCTACTCAGGAGGCTGAGGCAAGAGAATCACTTCAGCCCAAGAGTTTGAGGTTGCTGTGAGCTGTGACACCACGGCCCTCTACCCAGGGTGACATAATGAGACTCTGTCTTAAAAAAACCTCAAAATCTTGGGCTCAAGCAGTCCTTTTGCCTCAGCCTCTAGAGTACAGGCACCCAAACTACCGGCACCTGCCACAATACCCGCCAATTTTTTCAATTTTTAGTAGAGACTGGGGTCTTGCTCTTACTCAGGCTGGTCTTGAACTCCTGAGCTCAAGCAATGCACCCAGCTTCCCAGGATTACAGGTATGAGCCACCTCACCAATCTGTCATCTTGTTTTAAGTAAGAATGAAACTAAAGAGGTCTCTGATTTGCTATAACGTGGCACCCAGATATAATTATTGGCAGCAAAGGCTGGGCGTGGTGACTCACACCTGTAATCCTAGCACTCTGGAAGGCTAAGGTGGGTGGATTGCCAGAGCTCACGGGTTTGAGACCAATCTGAGTAAGAGTGAGACCCTGTCTCTAAAAATAGCTGGGCATTATGGCTGTTGCCTGTAGTCCCAGCTACTTGGAAGGCTGAGGCAAGAGAATCACTTGAGTCCAGGATTTTGAAGTTGCTGTGAGCTATGACACCATAGCACTGTACTGAGGGTAACAAAGTAAGTCTCTGTTCAAAAAAAAAAAAAATTATTAGCAGCAGTGACTATCCATTTCTTCCTCCTGCTCCTCTACCTCAGTTGCTCCTGAACACAAAACTCTAAAAGCCAGCAGAGAAGAGAAACTGTGTTGAAAGATGAAAGGAGAAAGGCTACAAACTTGACATTCAAAATTCTGGTTCTATATGGCTCTTGGTCTGGGCCAAAAACTCATGTTTCTGGGTTCTTCCTCTGTGAAATCAGTAGATTTACACCAGTGATTCCCTAAGTATGGTCCCATGACCAGGAAGGTTAACTTCACCTGGGATCTTGTTAGAAATACAAATTCTGGCTCGGCGCCTGTGGCTCAAGTGGCTAGGGCGCCAGCCACGTACACCCAAGGTGGCGGGTTCGAATCCAGCCTGGGCCTGCCAAACACAATGATGGCTGCAACCAAAAAATAGCCGGGCGTTGTGGCGGGCGCCTGTGGTCCCAGCTACTTGGGAGGCAGAGGCAGAACACTCACTTGAGCCCAGGAGTTGGAGTTTGCTGTGAGCTGAGATGCCACGGCACTCTACCCAGGGGGACAGCTCAAGGCTCCTGTCTCAAAAAAAAAAAAAAAAAGGAAATACAAATTCTGGCCTGGTGCAGTGGCTCACGCCTATAATCCTAGCACTCTAGGAGCCAAGGTGGGTAGATTGCTTGAGCTCACAGGTTCAAGACCAGCCTGAGCCAGAGCAAGACCTTACCTCTAAAAAATAGCTAGCCATTGTGGCAGGCTCCTATAGTCCCAGCTACTCAGGAGGCTGAGGCAAGAGCCCAACAGTTTGAGGTTGCTGTGAGCTATGATGCCAAGGCATTCTAGTCAGGGCAACAAAGTGAGACTCTGTCTCAAAAAAGAAAAGAAATACGACTTCTCAGGCCTTACTCTAGACCTACAAAATAAAAAACTCTTGGTGTGAGCCCAGCAATGTATAGTTTAACAAGCACTCCAGGTGATTTTGATACATGCTTAAGTTTGAGAATCACTGTTTTACCCACTGAAGGAGGAGCTCATAAAAAAGCCAGTATGGGGACAAATTCTCAAATCAAGGTTAGGGAACTGAAGAGGAAAAACCAAAGTCTCTCAAAGTGGCCTCTAGACAGGCTGTCTTACCATTTCCCTCTCATTTTATTTTTCATTTTTCTCTGGAGCAGATCCCACTCATGAAGGCACAGCAGAGGGCATGGAAAACGTGGCAGATGCTGTCACCCATGCCCGTTTTGTAGGCACGGATCCTGCTAGCGATGAGGTTGTCCTGATGAAAATCCTTCAGGTAAGCAGGAGGGGGAGGGCAATTAGGCTAATGGCCAAGGGCTGGTGCCTCTAGGTCTACTTACCTGAGTCTCCCGGCACCATGTAGCTGTGTTTTGACTCCACTGGGGCTTAGGAGCCTACTTTGTTTCCAAACAAGTAGCTCCAGTACCCAAAGTAAATGCTTTTTCTAAGGAAAATAATTTAAAAATTCTGAATGAATTGATACTAAATACTGGAAACCCTTAATATACTTGTACCCCTGGCAGACTGTATCTGTGCCATCCATCTGTTGGGCTCATGGGCTAGGGCTGGAATGAATTTTGAACAATGTCAGGGTCATACAAAGTGAAAAAGCAGTTCCCAAGATAAGCTCCTGGGAGACCTTTCTACCAAACTGAAGTGAGGTCAGCATTCTTGCTAACCTCTCTTTCTCACTCCTGAGTACTTCTCTGGGAGACTAGAGGAACACTAGGCAGCTTTTCAACCATCAAGTAAGCCTCTCTTCACCCAACCTACTTGGTTTATCACAATAACTCCCCTTTCTTCCTGGTAGGTCTTACGGACTCTATTGCTAACCCCAGTGGGTGCCCACCTAACCAATGAATCTGTGTGTGAAATTATGCAGTCTTGCTTCCGGATCTGCTTTGAAATGAGGCTCAGTGGTAGGTTCTTGAATATCGTCACCTTCACCATTCTTGGGGCCACTGAATATGAAACACAGGATGCTGTCTCTGAACCCCAGAGAGATGAAAAATTCAGGACTTCTCATCAATCTCAAGGAGCCATAAGGATCTAGAAGAAATCTCTATACTTGACTATTGGCAAAGCTAGAGTAAAGACCTCAGCCCGTTATGCCAGGGCAGTAGTTGGGATGGTTCCCAGACTGACAACCCAGGATCAGTCTCCCTCCCTTGAGGTTTTCTGGGATTGACACCAGCATGCAACTCCCAAGATCTATCACTCCCCCTTTTTCCCCGACTCGCTAGTGCCATCTAGTGGTCCAGTAAAGTAATGGCTGCCTGGCAGAGCTGGAGCTGGTTTTAATAAGTCTGGCATAATCCTTAGTAAACAAGGTTTGGAGGGGAGTCTGCCCTGAGAAACCTCCTGATAATAGCACGGCAAGTAATGACACCTGTGTTATTTGTTTTTGCCTGTGCAGAGTTATTGAGAAAATCCGCAGAGCACACTCTCGTAGACATGGTGCAGCTGCTCTTCACAAGGTAAACCTGCTGCTGTTTGCTTCAGCCCGGCTGCCCAGGCCTCTTGAGTCTGCCTGCTTCCACACAGCCACGTCAGGGACCTGGCCAACCCCACAGCCACATCAGAGGCCACTGGGATTATGCATGGGGGTAGTTCTCTGGGTCTAGGGTTACTGAGCAAGGGAGGAGGAGGAAGCTAACTTGGTCTCAGAAGGAGGTAGAGGGTTATTTAATCTAAGCTGACAGACCTCATTCTGCTTCCCAAACTTATTTATGTCTATTTCTGTACAGGTAGCAGCTGGGAAAGGGAACTCAGAAAGGAAGTCAAACTCAAGGGACTTTGGAACAGGTTGCTGGGCTCCCAGAGCTCAGCCTGTTTTCTATGGAAAGGGCCAAGGCTAGGGTGACCAATGATTGATTTTGCCTGGGACTGTCTTTATTTCAGTGCTGAAGGTCCTGCATCTCAGCAAACCTTACCTTAGTCCCAGGCAAACCAAGATGATTGGTTACCCTAGGTAAGGTCCTCAGCCTAGGGCCTAGGAGGCCTTTTTCATACTAGGCCTAACTGCCTATTTCTTACACTTCTTTTCAATAGATTCACTTTGAGAAGAGCTGAGGCAGTGGCCTTAAAATCTCCCCCTGGGATTCTTTTTGCTCTCAGATCTATAGATAATAATGTTTAATATCTACAGACAAGACTGCCCTTGGACCCTACTGCAGAGAGTTTCTTACTCTTCAGGCTCAAATTTCAGACTTCAAAACTAAAGCCTGCCTTTTACTTCTTGCCCTATTCCCAGTCTCCTAGGGTTTTGATAGATGCCCTCTCCCCACCTCTTGGCTTCCAGCAGTACGTGCCAAGTGAACACAGGCAGGAAGGAATCAGTTTAAGTATAAAAAGAGCCTCCACACTCCAAGAGTACTTAGTCATTTTGCCCTCCTGACTACCTTCTTTCGTCCATGTCATATATCCCTTGATTCCTGTGGCTCTTTGATGCAGCTCTGAAAAGGGTGAAATTAGTCTGCTTCTCTTCCTGCCTTTTACTGAGATACCAGGCATGCTCTGGCTCAGAGCACCTTTGGTCTGTGGCTGGCATGAGGGTGGCATTTGTCATCCTTAATGATAGTCCATGGATTCTCTATTTTATAGGTTACCTCATTTTAAAGAAGAACCCAAGAACTATGTGGGGACCAACATGAAGAAGGTATGATCTGAGAGCTGATCCGTATGATCTGAGAGCTGATCTGCTGTCCCTCCTCCAGACATTAATCTCCCAATTTCCGTACTGTGAGATGATACCCTTGCTTAGCAAAGACATGCTTTTGCCTAGACAGGTCTGCCTAGAATCTAGAAATAGCTCTCATTCCCTTAGTGAGAGATTTATTCTCTCCCAGATACCTGTCTTTCCCCAACTTTCCTTTATGGCCTGTCTGTCTTTGAACCACCACATAAGTTGGTGAACCAGTTTTTCCTGGAAACTGAGTGAGGCCCATCCTTCCAGGCTGAAAACATATGTTGACCTTTAAATAAAGACGAAAGGCCTACTGTCCCCTCAGGGCTCAGCCTTGTCACCAGGTAGGAAGCTGAGAGAGACTTCATCCTAAATCCTACCCCAGTGCTGGATTAGACTGGGCTCACGCTTGTGGTAGTCTCTATTGAAGAGATAGATCGAGCCTGACTCCAAACCAAAGGGTTCTTAAACTGCTAGGAAAAGAATGGTGGTCAGAAGAGTGGCCTCTTTCTATCTTAAACTGAAGCCCTGGACTTTATGGGCCTCTAATGAGGATTCTGCTTGCAACCTTAAGAGGTTCTGCTCATGGACATGACTCTTGGCTGTTTGGTGCATGCCCGCCCTCTCCCTTGCCATCTATCCCTACCCTGTGCCCTGTTGGCGTGTGTCTGAGTTTATTTCACTCTGTTTAAATCGTGCATTTGCCTGTCTTTCACAGATTTCTCCATGTCTCCTCAACAAACTGGAGCTAAGTAGTGGGGAGCAGACCAAAGCCCTGAACCAGTTAGAGAGGGTACTACTCTTTAAGAACCTCAAGGTCTCTCTCCCTCTCCTTTCCCCTTTTTTATTTCTTTCTTTAAATGCTTATTTTTTATATGTAACACCTGGGTTCCCTTTCCATTATGTAGAGCACAACTTACCCCTCCCTAGTAACAGCACGGCTTTGAAAGAGTTGTGCGTGATTGTAGCTTTGGAAATTCTCCTGGGGCATCTGACTGCCTGGAGACAGGTGAAGGAAGCCTTGAACATTACATAGTAAACCTAGAAAACCTGAGTACTGCTGTCACCTTGTGAAGAGGCTCAAAATCTACCATTTCTGGGGAAACTCTTAAGAGACTTTTTAGCTAGAACTTTCCCACTTCCTTGCTCTCCCTTGCTCAAAGCTGACATAGAGAACTTAAGCATAGTTCTCAACTTTATCTGGATACCTGGACTGATTTTAGAGAGAAACAGTAGTCAATCTAGTTAGGGTCTTTTTTTTCTTTCTCACTTAACCATTAGAGGGGTCATTCCAAGATGAACTAGAATAGTAAGGAGCCAGGTGCCAGGATAGCTCAGGACCTTGGGAATACTTTGCCAAGATCACCTCTGTCCTTTAAAGATCAAGATGTAGGGGAGCTTAGGGGAGAGATCCAAGCTGAAAACTACCTTAATTCCCATATTTCACTCTAGGAAGGAGAGGCAGAGAAGGAGGTATAGACTATCTAGGCTAACTATCATAAGAGTGTGCATATTAGAAGTATGGTTGGTGGCTTGGTGCCCATAGCTCAGTGGTTAGGGTCCTGGCCACATACGTTGAGGCAGGCGGGTTCGAACCTGGCCCGGACTTGTTAAACAGCAATGACAACTGCAACAACAACAACAACAAAAATAGCCAGGTGTTGTGGTGGGCACCTGTAGTCCCAGCTACTTGGGAGGCCGAGGCAAGAGAATTGCTTAAACCCAAGAGTTTGAGGTTGCTGTGAACTGTGAAGCCATGGCACTCTACTGAGGGTGACATAGTGACACTCTGTCTCAGAAAAACAAAACAAAAACTAAATAACTGCATGTGTACACCTAGCTAGATAGTACATAGGCCTATGTTCTCTTTGAATGCATTGTCTCAAGTTTCATTTGTTTAGTCTCAAGTTATAGCTCTCTTCAGTGGCTATCCAGCATGTTGCCATGATTATTAACTTAAGATCTTTTCCATTTTTTTGTAAAGCTTATGCTGTGCTTTAGAATACAAACTTGTAAAGATAAGATGGTATAGGGTTCCATGAACATATGCTGCCACCTCTTAGGATCTTAGGACAGGGAACACAGCTATACTTTTAAGAACTGAGGCATTTTTGAGAACTACCAATCTCTTAGCCCCTATTCCACCTAAGAGGCTAGAAATACTCATTGAAATGACCAGGTTTGAGCAAGCTTTGCAGAGCACAGAGAGGGAAACAGGAAAGACTGACCCTAGTGTGGGAAGAAATCTCAGTGACTGACTGGCTTCTCAGTGGAAATAGGACTTCCTGAAGTCCCTGGCACGGGGAGGGACTGAAGAAAGACTATCTGATAAAAGCAGATCCAATTGTTAGTACTTTTTGGAGCTCAGTGACAACTGCCAATAAAGTCAGGAGGTCCCTCATTGATCTCTTGGGCTTCTTGCCCTTCTGCATATTTGGCTGACTCTTCTCCCAGAACGTTTATTACCATGAACTTGATGCAGCTGAGTTCCAGGGGTTCCTTGAAAGAGCATCCATCTATTTCCTGAATAGCCATAGTGTTCAGAACACTTGAAGCTCAATTCTAGACATGACTGTAGGCGTTTCAGAGATGGAATGACAAGAAATGTAAATCCAATGTGAGGCAGTTGCTATATTATTAAGAGCTTGGGGAAGGGGTCAGCTATTGGGCTTTTCCTTTATTGGAAGGGGCCCTGAGTAATGATGGAACAATTATGTGGTTCCCAAACAAGGGATCACCTTAGCTGAGAACTTAGAGGTGCTTGAGGAATGAGTTCTGTCCCCAAATATTAGAAGGAATTGAAGAGGCAAAGGATAATCTGGATATATTCTGTCTTTCAGAAAAGGCAGGGAGGAAAGTGCTTCTGGTCTCCTTAGAGTCCTGAGTCATTCTAATAACTCTTTTCCTGGAAGAGAGTTGCTGTTGCCCAATCCAGGAATGTTCCATCAGTTGAGGAACAGTTTAATATAGGGACAGAGTTCAAACTTCAACTGAGACAACATCAAGGTGAAGAAAACAAAATGAGATTAAACAAAGTAACTATGAATTTAGGGTAGAGAAAATGCATTAACACGTAGATCCCAGAGTAGTCAACAGGTGATAGGGCTTGTCCTTTGTTACTAAAAGGGAGCTATAGGAGGAATAGAAATTCAGCAAGAGGAGTTAGAACTAAAGGTTCCAAGGAATCAGCCTTACCATATGACAACATAAAATTGCATTTAGAAAGACCAACAATGAGAAAAACAGGAGGTCCTATTGATATAACAAAATTGGGAGCAAGAGAGAGCAGCAGCATGACATGACCCTCCATCCTTAACTCCACAAATAAACTGGGATGCTACTCCTTCCTTCATTCCAAGGAATGAGGCTTTGACCAATTTGATGGAGAAATTCCAGAGAGTAAGGTATATGTTTATGCTGTAGGTCCACTCCATGCAGCATTAAGAAAACTAAGAATCTGGATGGGAAGGACTTGCATAGTTGGATGAGAACTAGGAGTAGACGCCTGCTCTGCAGGGTAGTTGAGGAAGAAAGCCCAAGAGTCTATGGATCTGTAGATCTGATGGTCTAGACCAGGCATCCTCAAACTACGGCCCGCCGAGAACATTTATCCGGCCTGCCAGGTGTTTTTGCCACTGCTGCCTGTCCTGCTTAGCAGCCGACTCGTCCCAGGGCCCACAGTCTGGCCCTCCAACGGTCTGAGGGACGGTGAACTGCCCCCTGTTTAAAAAGTTTGAGGACTCCTGCTCTAGGCAGAGGAGCCCCTGCCCTTACCCTTTCTGCAAGAGGATCATGAATCATCTATAGAACTCAAGATTGCCTGCTTAATGTAAGACGTAGGACCCAGGGAAGCAGAGTGATAAGTATGAAGGCTGGCCCTACCATTGACCAGCCCAGAAGCAGAACGGTGCCTTCCATATGGAGGCTGCCATGCCAACCTATAAAGTGACAAATGTGGAAGCCAGGTTAGAGAAGTAGGGATGTGATCTCATTGCCTAGATTCTTTCTTTAGCACCAATGTGGGGTACAGATTGTTTCCTACAGACCAGAAGGAATAAGTAAAGGGAGATTTCTAGGGATAGAGTCTTAGTTTGAATGCCAGTGCTAATGAGGTATGATATTTCCAGCTGAAAATGAGAGCAGGAGGCATGAGTGATTCATCCAAGTGGAAGAAACAGAAGCGATCTCCTCGGCCCCCACGCCATATGACCAAAGTCACAACAAGTTCAGAGCTACCTACTCCCAGTGGAACCACCTTATCCTCTAACCTCACTGGTGAGTGCTCTGGGCTGCTGCTTCTGATCAGAATAGATAGAAGAAAAGCTTTCTTTTTCTCTCAGGGCTTTGAAGACCAACCAAAGGGGGCATGGAGGGTATGTTTTGCCCACCAAGACCAAAATTGAAGACCAACCAACTTAGAGGCTTTGGTCTTTCTGCTGAGAGTGAAAAGGGAAATTCCAGGTCAAATCAGACTCTGACCTTTCAGCAACTCCGTAGTAACTTAAGGTGGTTCTCCTTTCAGAGGGATTCTAATGACTTTAGAGACCAATATGTGCAGAGATGAGCATGCAGTCTGGGAAATAGGGCCCCTGGTACCATGGAGGGTATGTTTTGCCCACAGAATATTCTTCAAGCTTCGTTTACTTTGCTTGGTAGGTGGCATGCCCTTCATTGATGTGCCCACTCCCATCTCCTCTGCAAGTTCAGAAGCTGCCTCAGCAGTAGTCAGCCCCTCTACAGACAGCGGCCTAGAATTCTCCTCCCAGACCACCTCTAAAGAAGATCTTACTGACCTGGAGCAACCTTGCTCTTTAGGGTACAGTACAGCTACCGAGCCTGGGAGCAGTGAACTAGGAGTTCCTGAGCAGCTTGATCCCCAGGTATGGCTTTGATGTCTAAAGGTCCTGTTCAGTCTTCCACTTTGGGGGAATAGGCTTGATCCTTTGGATCTTTATTCACACCTTGGCTCAAAACAAGACTGACTAGGGGGTTTCTTTCCTATTTCACAGAATTAGCTGTGCTGCCTAGAAAAACCACAGCGTGACTCACTGTGAGAGGTTGCTCATGGGATTTATCAAGTTATGCCTATAAGTAGTACTGGGCAAAAGGGAGGGAGCTCATGGAAGGTGATATCTAAATCCTAAGCATGTACAAGCGTGTGCCTCTTTAGGGTTCTAGACATTGTAGGTCACTGATGTCTCAGGATATGTTTTCTGAGTCCTTCATACTCCTACCATCTTTCATTGATTCATAAATCACTGAGCTGACCCTACACCTGCAGCCCATCAGAGACTGCCTTGGAGGATCGGTACTTTAGGTGGGTAAGTTTAAGGTGCCTCATCTCTCTTACTATATCTCCCTGCTACTGGTCATATCAGGAAGGGGCCCATGTGGAAAAGACCCAGTCAGCATCCGTGGAATCTATTCCTGAGGTATTAGAGGAGTGCACGTCCCCTGCTGACCACTCTGACTCTGCCTCTGTCCATGACATGGACTACGTCAATCCCCGGGGTGTGCGCTTTACACAGTCCTCGCAGAAAGAAGGTGAGTACTCTTTGACAGGCTCTGCCTGTTCATTTCCTTCACTTTACATGTTAAGTGCCTTAGCTTAGATCATCTTGGATCAAGGTGACTATTATCTGCTGGTCCAAGTTCTAGGCCATTTTCTAGTCAAGCCATAGAACTATTGGCATGGATGGAGTCTTTCCCTATCTTAGACTACCAACTTTCTTGGCTATAGGAAGTAAGAAGGAAGAGTAAAAAGCTTAGAACTTTTAACAGAAAGATAGGACCATCAATCCTGATTTCTTCCAATAAACGAAACTAGTCCTCTTAACCTCCTCAGGAAAAGAATCCGAAGAGAATCACTTACCTGAAATTGCCTTGTGTAATGGAAGGCAGGCTAGGCGAAGCCAGTAGGCTAGTTATTTCTTAGCAGTCTCACTCTCTTCCTGGCCTTCCCTAGGCACAGCTTTGGTCCCCTATGGTCTTCCCTGCATCCGCGAGCTCTTCCGCTTCCTCATCTCCCTCACCAATCCACATGACCGCCACAACTCTGAGGTTATGATCCACATGGGACTGCATTTACTGACAGTGGCTCTTGAGTCAGCCCCTATAGCCCAGTGCCAGATCCTCTTGGGCCTCATCAAGGATGAGATGTGCCGCCATTTATTCCAGGTAAGACCAGACTGCTTAGAGACCCAGAGTCTCTCTCAAGGGCCAGGGAAGCATAGGGAGATTTGGCCAATTGTGCAAAGAATTTTGGTCCCAGGAAAGTGTCTGCCTCCCAGTTGGCTAGTAGTCATAGTAAGAGGGTACTGGTAGTTATCCAGGGTCTCTGATAGCCAGAGAGAAATGTAGAAATGGCTAGATACGGAGTTCTTTGGAGCACAGGACTTCAGTAGCAACTTCACCCAATTTGCCTTTCCTGTCTAAGTTAAGCCATAGTCAGCTTCTGAAACCTCATAGCCTTCCTTACTCTGCTCTCTAGCTACTCAGTGTGGAGCGACTGAACCTTTATGCTGCTTCTCTGCGAGTATGCTTCCTATTATTTGAGAGCATGCGGGAGCACCTCAAATTCCAAATGGAGGTAAGTTTCTTGAGCTTGGTAGAAAAAAAATGAAAAGGGGGAGATATATGGCATCTTCAACAAGGCCAGCTCTGTCACGCTGCAGTGGTGGGATTTAAGGGCTTCCTGTAAAAGAATGCTTTTAGCCTCCATAATTTGGTTCATGGACTGGCTTCTTTAAGGGAAAAGTTAAAAGGAGATCGAGGAAACTGCTACTATAAAGTAGAAGAATTCAAATGTGAGGACTGGCAGGCAATCTTACCATGAGTAGGAGCAGCTCTTCTACCCAGCAGTTCCTCTGCAACACAGGCAGCCAATTCAAGCCAGGATTGTCATTAAATTGAAAGAATTAACTCTAATGTTTACATAGAGAATACAAAAAGGGCAATAGGCAACTTATTTGAGATCAAGCATGAGGTAGACAGCCAGACTTTATCTATTAACATTCAGGCCAAAGAGGAGAAAGTACTGTGGGGACAAAATACCTTTAGGTGTCCCTTAATGGGTGCCACTTGACTGGCCATCTGCTCCCTGTATAATGTTCATCCTATCTGGTTTTATCTCTTCCTATCTTGAATCATTTCTCCATCTAAATGGCAATTATTGGGTTATTCCCAGATGTACATCAAAAAGCTCATGGAAATCATCACTGTGGAGAACCCCAAGATGCCTTATGAGATGAAAGAGATGGCACTAGAGGCCATTGTGCAACTCTGGCACATCCCCAGCTTTGTCACTGAGCTCTACATCAACTATGATTGTGACTACTACTGTTCCAACCTCTTTGAGGACCTCACCAAGCTGCTGTCCAAGGTGCTGAGTACTATTACAAGTCTCTAGAAAGAAGGTTCTATGAAGGAAATCTCCCTGGTGGTAATGAGGATGCTACATACAGGGAGGGGGAACACTTGGGAGCTGGGAAACAGGAAGAAAAAAGATATTTTCTAAAGGTTCAGCGTGTGTAGCTCAGTGAGTAGGGTGCCAGCCATGTACACTGAAGCTGGCAGTTTAAGCCCGGCCCGGGCCTGCTAAACAACAATGACAAGTGCAACCAAAAAAAAAAAAAAAAAAAAAAGCCGGGTGTTGTGGCGAGTGCCTGTGGTCCCAGCTACTTGGGAGGCTGAGGCAAGAGAATCGCTCAAGCCCAAGAGTTTGAGGTTGCTATGAGCTATGATACCATGGCACTCTACCCAGGGCAACATAGTGAGACTCTGTCTCAAAAATAATAAATAAATAAAAATAAGGCAATGTAGAAGTTACAGGAAGTTGCAGGATTTTTGGTTTTAGGGAGTTCATGTTGTTGTTTTGAGACAGGGTCTTGCTTTGTTGCCTTGGCTGGAGTGCAGTGACACAATCATAGCTTACTGTACCCTCAATCTTCTAAGCTCTGGGTTCAAGCAGTCCCTATACTTCAGCCTCCCAAGTATAGCTAGGATGACAGGAGGTGCACCACTACACCTGGCTAAATTTTTTTTATTTTCTGTAGAGACAGGGTCTTACTATATTGCCCGGGCTAGTCTCAAACTCTAAGCAGTTCTCCCACCTCTGCCTCCCAAAAGTGCTGGGATTACTTACAGGTGTAAGCTAGCCTGGCCAGAGATTTTTGGAAAATGATCAGTTACAGTGTAAAGTATTCCCCGAACCTTCACCCTAATGGATCTGTTTATTTTGCAGAATGCCTTTCCTGTGTCTGGTCAGCTCTATACAACACACCTACTGTCTCTTGATGCCCTATTGACAGTGATTGACAGCACTGAGGCCCACTGCCAGGCCAAAGTCCTGAACAACCTCACACAGCAAGAGAAGAAAGAGACAGCCAGACCCAGCTATGAGACAGTAGATGGTGCCCGAGAAGCTAGCAATAGTGAGAGGCATTTCTTTTCTTCGAAGACCCCAGGGTTCTATGCTTATCCCTTCTCAACTCACTGAGTCCTTCCTCCTGTCCTCACATCACTTCCCCTGGGATACTCCTAATTCTGTTTCCAGGGTTTGGTGGTTTGGATCACAGGCTAGTCAAGCAGAATAACAGGATTCACAGACCCTTTCCCCTCTTCCCCACTTTGGTTTCTTTTTTTTGTGTTTTTTTTTTTTTTTGAGACAGAGCCTCAGGCTGTCCCCCTGGGTAGAGTGCCATGGCATCAAAGCTCACAGCAACCTCCAACTCCTGGGCTCAAATGAGTCTCCTACCTCGGCCTCCCAAGTAGCTGGGACCACACGTGGCTGCCACAACGCCCAGCTGTTTTTTGGTTGCAGCCATCATTATTGTTTGGTGGGCTGGACTGGATTTGAACCCACCACCTTAGGTGTATGTGGCTGGCTCCTTAGCCACTTGAGCCACAGGCGCCGAGCCCCCACTTTGGTTTCTTGACAGAGATATTTCTTAATTGCAAGAAAAGAGAACAGAGGTTAAGGGATATAGGACTTCTGTCCCTAAAAGCTCCAAGCCTGTAGCTCAGCGGCTAGGATGCCAGCCACATACACTGGAGCTAGCAGGTTTGAATCCAGCCCAGGCCAGTTAAACAACAATGATAACTGCAACCAAAAATTAGCCGGGCGTTATGGCAGGCGCCTATAGTCCCAGCTACTTGGGAGGCTGAGGCAAGAGAATCGCTTAAGCCCAAGAGTTGGAGGTTGCTGTGAGCTGTGATGCCATGGCATTCTACCAAGGGCCACATAGTGAGACTCTGGCTCAAAAAAATAAAAAAGCCCAACTTTTTCCCATCTCCAATATCTGCCTCCACTCTAATTAATCTTCTCTGTCTCCTCCTTGAGATTAAAGTTGTAGAAGTACAGGGAAAGATTCATTAAATTATAGAATCTAATGCTTGGCTGGGACAGTGACCATTTGCTTTGTCCTGGTCAGGGATGGTTCCTGGGAGCATGCAGGTCTCCTTGGCTTGAGATTTGGCCTTTGCTATAGCTCCACTTGGTTTCCTACCATATAAGTCTTCACCTATCTTCTTCTCTCTTGCCAGCTGAGAGAGCAGCCAACGATGGGAAAGCTGTAGGCATAGCCCCAGACATCCCAGGCCTGCATCTGCCAGGTGGAGGGCGACTGCTGCCAGAACATGGGAAGCCAGGAGGATGCAGTGATCTAGAAGAAGCTGGTGACTCTGGGGGTGAGTACTGGGTGTCCACAGCCCTGAGCTCCCTCAACTAGAGGGCCTGGTGGAGAATGGAGAGAGAGGAGCAGTGTAAAGTGTGATGGCTTGCCATGACTTCAAACCCGTAGAAAGGAAAAAAAGCATCTGGGGCTCCAGAAGACAGGACTCCCAAGGAAGTAGAAAATCGATAAGGACAGAAAATTTCTCCTTTTTCACAAGGAGTATATATCAGCGAGTTTCCAAAAGTCATTCTGGTAAAAGAAGTCTTATGGGTTTTTCTCTCTCTTCCTCTCATTCCTAGCTGACAAAAAGTTTACCCGGAAGCCACCTCGATTTTCTTGTCTCCTGCCAGATCCACGGGAACTAATTGAAATTAAAAATAAAAAGAAGGTACATACATATATTCCCCAGAGCTCAGCTTCCACCCACCTCTGTCAGGGTATCTTTGGTAGGGCCAAAGGGTAGGGTAGGGCTTCTATCCCTGGGGATGAAGATGTGTCTAGATGTGAGAGTCTAGCATCTCACTGTACAGCTTGCTAGGCTAGTCTTTGGACTTACTGGGATTTCAGTCTCCTGTGAAGCCCTTTCCTTACACCTAAGCCGTGTAGGTAGGCATACCCTATTGTATGCCCCAGGCAAATGCTACACTAGCTAGGAGACTCCTTATCCAGTCTCCTGTGAAGCCCTTTCCTAACTCCTAAGCCATGTAGGTGGGCATACCCTATTATATGCCCCAGGCAAATGCTACACTAGCTAAGAGCCAAGTGTTACTGGTGGCAGTGACAGGAGCCCGAGCTGATGTCATGTGGGCTACTGGAGGTTATTGGTCAACTCCAGCTCTTTTATTCTGACAATAAAAAGGAATTGACATTTATTCTGGTGCTTTAGTAAAGTTCAAATAACTGTTTGTGCTCTTGGTTTCTTAAAGAAAACCTGCTATTTAACCCTTTCTTCCTCTTATTACTAGCTTACGTGACTTTGGTTCATGTGTGCCCTTGATTGCAGAGTTATGACTGGGCACACAGAAAGTTGAATTACCTTCATAGTTAGTCTGCCTTGTCCTTTGAACTTAGAGCCTTAAGAGCTAGGCAACCAAAGAAAAAAAGGGAATCTAAGCAAACTAGAAACAAGATGGTGGCTGTTAACAAGTGTCAGGGATAGATAATAAAACTGCGGAGAAGAATTCTTTGATCTCTGTCTTCTACTCTGATTTCTCAAGTGGAAGGAAATGAGGCTGTTCCATGCATGTTGACCTCTCAGAAAAGGAATGAAAAGGAACTCCTAAGTCAGTTCTAATTAGGCAGGAAGATGGGGGAAGCTAGGCCACTGTGATCCATCCTTAATTCTGGAGTCACTAAGAACCATATCCTAGGACCCCGCTGAGTGACCAGCTTGAGCTATTGTGGAGTCCAGCCTGGCTTTGTCTTATTTAGGGGCAGATCAACTTTTTTTTGAGACAGAGTCTCAAGCTGTCACCCTGGGTAGAGTGTTGCAGTATCACAGCTCACAGCAACCTCAAACTCTTGGGCTTAAGCCATGCTCTTGCCTCAGCCTCCCAAGTAGCTGGGACTACAGGCTCCTGCCACAATGCCCAGCTATTTTTTTCTTGTTACAGTTTTCTTTGTTGTTTAGCTTGTCTGGGCCAGGCTTGAACCCGCCAGCTTCGGGTGCATGTGGCTGGCTCTGTAACCACTGTACTACAGGCACCAAGCCTGGGGCAGAGCAACTTCTGACACCTCTAGTCTTTCTCCTTCAGCTGCTAATCACAGGCACAGAGCAGTTCAACCAGAAACCAAAGAAGGGGATCCAATTTCTGCAAGAGAAAGGCCTCCTCACCATCCCAATGGACAACACAGAGGTAGCCCAGTGGCTTCGAGAGAACCCTCGGCTGGACAAGAAAATGATTGGAGAGTTTGTGAGTGACCGCAAAAACATTGACCTATTGGAGAGCTTTGTAAGGTGAGGAAGCTATGAGAAATATGGGACTTAGTAATCAGTCTGAGGGAACAGAGCATCCCTCCCTCAAAGCAGTCTCATTCAGTTCCTACTGGTGACCCAGGTCACGCATTCTTCCTCTTCCTATCATTTATATCCATTGAACTTGAAAAGTGCTCTAGCAAGATAGTTTTGGGAGCCCCTCCATTCTGCACGAAGAACATTGCTAAGGGACAGAGCAGTGAGGTTTCTAGGCAAGAATGCTAAAAAGTGTTGGAGTTGTGTTAAAAGATACCACTCTGTAAAAAAAAAATGAAGACTTTACCTCTTTTATGTTTACATGGATGGAGCTGGAAAATATCCTTCTTAGTAAAGTATCTCAGGAATGGAAAAAAAAATCCAATGTACTCACTACTACTGTGAAATCAATTTACAATCATTCACACATGCATGTGAAAAGTGAAACACAACTATAGCCTAGGCTGGGGGAGGGAGAGGGGAAGGGGGGGTCGATAGAGGGAGGGTTAGTAGGGGGGCCACACCTATGGTACATATTGCAAATATAAGTTGGATTTATCAGGTGTAGAGGATAAATGTCTTAATCCTGTAATTGGATAAAAGTGGTGAAGGCTATGTTGTTTAGTAGTATGTAAGCATTCCAATTTGTACAAGTAATCAACATATTGACTCCTATAATGGCATAAATGTATTTATGATCTATGTATGAATGACTTAATAAAAAAAAGAAAAAAGAGATACCACTCTGGCTTAGCATGCATAGCTCAGTGGTTAGGGTGCTGGTCACATGCACTGGGGCTGGCGGGTTCAAACCTAGCCTGGGCCTGCTAAACAATGATGATAAGAACAACAAAATAGCCAGGCATTGTGGCAGGTGCCTGGACTCTCAGCTACTTGGGAGGCTGATGCAAAAGAATCGCTTAAGCCCAAGAGTTTGAGGTTGCTGTGAGCTGTGATGCCACAGCACTCTACTGAGGGGAACATAGACTGTATCAACAAAAAAAAAGAGATGCCACCCTAAGGGTGGAGGAAGGAGGGAGGAGTGTGGCCAGTTCTCACCTATTGGGTACAATGTAGGGATATATGGCACATCTCCTGGGTGAAAGGCTCAACTCCAACTTGGACTTTACCTAACAGATGCAAACAATATAACCTAAATGTATGTTCCCTTATATTAATCTGAAATTTTAAAAAATAATTTTTTAAAAGAGATACTACCCTTTTGCCAGAGACCTCAATCTCTTCTTTTCCAGTAAAAGAACTGTGGCTGGCTCGGCGCCTATGGCTCAACCGGCTAAGGCGCCAGCCACGTACACCTAAGGTGGCGGGTTCGAATCCCCAGCCTGGACCCGCCAAACAACAATGACGGCTGCAACCAAAAAATAGCCAGGCGTTGTGGCGGGCGCCTGTGGTCCCAGCTACTTGGGAGGCGGAGGCAGGAGACTCGCTTGAGCCCAGGAGTTGGAGGTTGCTGTGAGCTGTAATGCCACGGCACTCTACCCAGGGGGACAGCTTGAGGCTCTGTCTAAAAAAAAAAAAAAAAAAGAGAACTGTGGCTAACAGAGAGCCCAACATGCGCAGCTTATACTCATCAGCCTCTACACCCTTCTTTTTTTCCCTATAGCACCTTCAGTTTTCAGGGTCTGCGGCTGGATGAAGCTCTTCGCCTCTACTTGGAAGCCTTCCGTTTGCCTGGGGAAGCACCAGTCATCCAGAGGTTGCTGGAGGCATTCACAGAGCATTGGAGGGTGAGTTTGAGTGGTAGGAGCTGAGTCCAGAATCCTAGGTCAGTTTGACTGAGGGCTTCTATGATCTCCAACCCAGTTGTGGCTCGGTGCCCATAGCACAGTGGTTACGATGCCAGCCGCATACACTAAGAGTGGTAGGTTCTAACCCAGCCAGGCCAGTTAAACAACAATGACAACTGCAACCAAAAATTAGCCGGACGTTGTGGCAGGCGCCTGTAGTCCCAGCTACTTGGGAGGCTGAGGCAAGAGAATCGCATAAGCCCAGGAGTTTGAGGTTGCTGTGAGCTGTGATGCCACAGTACTCTACTGAGGGCAACACAGTGAGACTCTGTCTCAAAAAAAAAAAAAAAAAAAAACCCAGTTGCTATCTCCTTAGAAGGCTGAGAGCAACATCAGTGAGCTTTCTGTGAAGAAACCAGCTTCTGTTAAGGAGCTGGCAAGAGATTGCCCACTTTTTGGGTGATACCTTCCTCTGTGCCAGCACTGACCACTGGGTTGATAGTAAGGGTTTAATTAACCAGAGAAGGGCATTGACACAGGTGGGATCTTTGCTTTTTCAGAATTGTAATGGCTACCCATTTGCCAATAGCGATGCCTGCTTTGCCCTGGCCTATGCTGTCATCATGCTTAATACTGACCAGCACAACCACAATGTTCGAAAACAGAATGCACCCATGACCCTGGAGGTAAGCTTGGGTCCCATCCTAGGCAGAGAAGATCCAGCACAGCTTTGGAGGTAGCAGAAAGCATGAGATTGATGGTGGGTATAGTAGACAGGGTTCTATCTAAGAGAATCAGCAAGGGCTGGCCAACCCAGAAGAGAAACTGGGTGGGAAGGTGGGTTCTTTCACTTAGTATTTCCTAAGTCCTATTTACCATAGATCCAGGAATTCCTTGGGAGGGGCTTCAGCATTGACACAGGGAGACAAGCTTATTGGCCTATCTCTAGGAGTTTCGAAAAAACCTAAAAGGTGTGAATGGAGGCAAGGACTTTGAGCAAGACATCCTGGAGGACATGTACCATGCCATAAAGTGAGTATATATGGAGAATAGTTAACATCTCTGTTAAAGAGAAGCACATTGCTTTCTTTCCCAGTTTTTAGAGTCATGTCAGACAGTAGTGACTCATGATGCCCTGGACTTAGCCTTGGGACTTAATTTCTTCCTTACAGAAGCCTAAACAATAATGGGACTCTAGTACGCTAAGCCTGGGTCCAAACTGCCCTTCTTAGATGGGATATCATGACTCCCATTTCCTGAACCTGAAGCAGCTGGGTTTCACTATCTGGCTTACACAATGCATTCTCTGGCTGGTAAAGATGAGCACTGGAGAGTGAGGCTTGGGTCAGAGGCCAGAGATGGGACACTTAGTTCTTTACTATAAATTAGAAAGAGTAGATAGCATTGTTCATCTTTTCTCATCCAGAAAGAATGTGAGATGTCCATACTGAAGAACTACAGGCCTCACTTAGAGACAGGGCTTTGAGATTATGGGATGCTTCCTTTTTCCCTGCTCCCACTTGTGAGTGGGAAGCAGACCACTTAGCTGCAGTTCCGATGACTTCTCATCAGTGGAAGGTGCTAGTCTGAGTGAAGCCCATAGTCCTAGTTTAGAGCCAGTGCGGTTCACAGCACAATACCCATTCCTTCCCTTACCTCCTGATAGGAATGAGGAAATTGTGATGCCTGAGGAGCAGACAGGCTTGGTTCGGGAGAACTACGTGTGGAATGTGCTGCTTCATCGAGGTGCCACTCCTGAGGGCATATTCCTGCGTGTGCCTACTGGCAGTTATGATCTTGACCTCTTCACCATGACCTGGGGACCCACTATTGCTGCTCTCTCTTATGTCTTTGACAAAAGCCTTGAGGAGACAATCATCCAAAAAGCCATCTCAGGCTTCAGGTAATTGACTTTTGGCCTTGGTCTTCACCACATCTCTGAGCTAACATGGTTGCCTTCATGCTCTCTAACTCCTACTCTTACTTTCCTTAGAATGGGGTTTGCCCTGAGTTTTTGGAGGGAGGCTAAAGCTTGGGAAAGCTCAGTCTTAAACAAACTCAAGAGTAAAAGATTGAGGGTTGATTGGGAAGAGCCCCCATCCAAGCCTCCTCAGGGACTTGGAAGGGCTGCATGGTCTTCTAGTGACTCTGTTTCTGGGATGGGGATGACATTACAGGAAGTGCGCCATGATCTCCGCCCACTATGGCCTCAGTGATGTGTTTGACAATCTCATCATCTCTCTGTGCAAATTCACAGCTCTCAGCAGTGAGGTAAGCAGGGGCAGGAACTGTGTACTTGGAGTCCCAAAAGAGGATCTCTTTTTTAGCCACAGGTCTACCCTTATCTGCAGAGCTGGTTGTCATTAGTACTTTCCCTCATTCCTCTTGATCATACCAGTGCTTAGGCCATTTTTTTTCTTGCATACCCTGGGATGAGAATGTTACCTCATGTAATTGGGATCAGAGAGAAGATGCAAGAGTGGGGAAGGCCTTAACCATGTTAGCCCTTCCCAGCAGTATTATGGGAGATTGAAGCAGAGCCAACAGAAGGACCCTGAGAGAAACATAGAGGCCTAAGAGATTTTCCTTTCCAGGTATCAGCCAGATCTTACACCTCTTCTCATCCTCTTTTCTAGTCTATTGAGAACCTTCCCAGTGTATTTGGAAGCAACCCTAAAGCCCACATTGCAGCCAAGACAGTATTCCATTTGGCCCATCGTCATGGTGACATCCTTCGAGAGGGCTGGAAAAATATCATGGAGGCCATGCTGCAGCTCTTCCGAGCCCAACTGTTGCCCAAGGCTATGGTAGAGGTAATTTCTTACAGACTAGTCAACAATCATGATGCGAGAACTCTGACATTATGTGCAGTTTGTATATAGAATGGGTTGAGAGTAGCACTGGGCCTGATGCCTGCCAAAAGCTCACTAGAGGATTTTGGTTGGGGACCATCCCACATCTAGGGCAGGAAGATGGTGGCTGCAAAGGAGATAAAAAAGTCACTGGAGTTGATCAACTTGAACTTCCAGCTTGTTATGAAAAGTGGAAAGTATGTGCTGGGGTACAAGCAGACTTTGAAGATGATCAGACAAGGCAAAGCGAAATTGGTCATCCTCGCCAACAACTGCCCAGCTTTGAGGAAATCTGAAATAGAGTATTATGCCATGTTAGCCAAAACTGGTGTTCATCACTACAGTGGCAATAATATTGAATTGGGCACAGCATGTGGAAAATACTACAGAGTATGCACACTGGCCATCATTGATCCAGGTGACTCTGATATTATTAGAAGCATGCCAAAACAGACTGGTGAAAAGTAAATCATGTACATTTTTTCTTTAATAAAACTTGCTAGAGCTTGTTTAAAAAAAAAGCTCACTAGGAATACCTAAAATGTAAGACCACAGGGGATAGTGATAGAGGAAGACTAGTAGAAGCCATTCTCAGCCACCAGTTAGAGGGGGTACAATAGTGTATGGGCAGAAGAAATTCAGGGAACTTTGCTTGGAGCAAGGGAGGAATGCAATGAGCATATAGAAAGAAGTCATTTTTTACCTACTTTTTCCAGGTAGAAGATTTTGTGGATCCCAATGGCAAGATCTCTCTACAGCGAGAAGAGACTCCATCAAACAGGTAAGAACAGATGAGAGGCTGAGACCCTTGAAGAGAGAGTCAGAACTTTGAGGATCAGCAGGGCATGTACTCTTTTTCTACAGAGGAGAGTCAACAGTTCTGAGCTTCGTGAGCTGGCTGACACTGAGTGGTCCTGAACAGTCTAGTGTGCGGGGCCCATCCACTGAGAACCAGGAGGCCAAGAGAGTGGCCTTAGATTGTATCAAGGTAACTGCCTGCCCATTCTGGTAGGAAAGCCTAAACTCTTCCCTATTGGCCACATGCTGCCTTTGAACTGAAGAATAGAATCATCCAGGGCTTATGACCAGGCCTGATTCTGCCCTTTCTCCCTGGCTCTTAAGAACATTTTCTTCCCTTCAGGCCTTATTGCAGACTTCCTTTCTCTTGTGCTCTCTCTAGCAATGTGACCCAGAAAAAATGATCACAGAGAGCAAGTTCCTCCAACTGGAGTCACTGCAGGAGCTCATGAAGGTAGAGGATAAAGAAAAGAAAGAGGGATGGAAGGGCGGTGCCCGTAGCTCAGTCGGCAGGGGGCGCTGGACACATACACCAAGGGTGGCAGGTTCAAATCTAGCCCAGGCCAGCTAAAACAACAATGACAATTGCAACAACAAAAAAATAGCCGGGCGTTGTGGCAGGTGCTGTGGTCCCGGCTACTTGGGATGCTAAGGCAAGAGAATCACTTAAGTACAAGAGTTTGAGGTTGCAGTGAGCTATGACACCACAGCACTCTACTCAGGACGACAGCTTGAGACTCTAAAACAAAACAAAACAAGAAAGAGGGATAGAAGAGCTGGCTGGGTTTGGGAGGAGTGATGGAAACAGTGGTGTTTCTTTTCCATGCTTGCTTTCCCTTCAGGCTCTGGTCTCAGTGACACCAGATGAAGAGACATATGATGAGGAAGATGCTGCTTTCTGCCTAGAAATGCTGCTAAGGATTGTGTTGGAAAACAGGTAGGAGAAGGCAGGTGAGGGCAGTCTTTAGACAGACCCTGTACTGGCCTTGTGCCAAAGAGGTGAAAGCCACCTTGCTGATTTGGTTCTAGGGAACTGTAGGTAGGCAGTAGGGGAAAAGCTTGCTAATTATTCCTGTCTGTTTAAGTATAATACTCAAGCTTTGAAAGGCCTAGAAGACTTATTATCTAGGCCTTTCTGGCTAAGACTGTCCTTTATTTATGTTCTCTGCAGGGACCGTGTGGGCTGTGTATGGCAGACCGTTCGAGACCATCTATACCACCTCTGTGTCCAGGCACAAGATTTCTGCTTCCTCGTGGAGCGAGCAGTGGTGGGGCTGCTACGCCTAGCCATTCGACTACTCCGGAGAGAAGAGATCAGTGGCCAGGTAAGCAGAGTACATCTGGGAGAGCAGCCAGGTACACAAGTGATTAAGGCCACAGTGTCAATTACAGATACAGCCTAATACATGGTATCAGCTCAGTGATCAACCATAGGGCTGGTACAGTCTAGCAGGCAGCATTAGGAGTGAGCTTGGAACAGACTTAAGCATGAAGCTTGTACTCTGCACCTTTGTAGGCTCCTATGAATCTGCTTTGTAGGGCTGGACTGCTGTTGCCTTATAGCAATACTAGTCCTGTATCTGGTTCCCTAGCTTTCATGCTTATGACCCTTCTGAGATCTCTTAGCACAATGACAGAAACAACCAGCATAGAGCTAATGAGTGAATTCAGCAAGGTCTCAAGATATAGATCAATACACAAAAATTAATCACATTTTTATATACTAACAAAGAACTATAGAAACTGAAATTAAAAACATAATAGGCCTGGCGCCTGTGGCTCAAGTGGCTAAGGCACCAGCTACATACACCTAAGGTGGTGGGTTCAAATCAGCCTGGGCCTGCCAAATAACAATGACAGCTGCAACCTAAAAATAGCCAGGCATTGTGGTGGGCACCTGTGGTCCTAGCTACTTGGGAGGCTGAGGCGCATGAGCCCAGGAGTTGGAGGTTGCTGTGAGCTGTGATGCCATGGCAATCTACCCAGGGGGACAGCTTGAGGCTCTGTCTCAAAAAAAACAAAAAACAAAAAAACAGTATCAGGCTGAGAACTGTGGCTCACGCCTATAATCCTAACATTGGAAGTCTAAAGCAGGTGGATCGCTTGAGCTCAGGAGTTTGAGATTAGCCTGAGCAAGAACAAGACCCTATCTCTACTAAAAATAAAAAAAACTAGCCAGGCATTACAGTGGGAGCCTATAGTCCCAGCTACTTGTGAGGCTGAGGCAAGAGGATGCTTGAACCCAGGGATTTGAGGTTGCTGTGAGCTGTGATGCCATGCACTCTACCAAGGGCAACAAAGTGAGACTCTATCTCAAAAAAAAAAAAGAAAGAAAGCAAAGAAGACCTAAATAAATGAAGAGGCATACCATATTAATGAATTAAAAGACTCAACACAATAAAAATGTTCATTTTTCATAAATTGATCTATAAGTTTAATGCAACTCCTATAAAAATCCTAGAGAGGGTTTCTGCAGACATAGATAAGCTTATTCTAAAACTTAGATGGAAAGGCACAGGCCCTAGAATAGCTAAAAAGAATAAAGTGGGAGGAATCATTCTATTTGATATTAAGACTTACTATATAGCTATAGTAATCAAAATTATGTGGTATTGGTGGAGGAACAGCTACATAGATCAATGGAACAGAATAGAGGACCCAGAAATAAAACCAACACAAATAATGTTCAATTCAATTCAATGGAAGAGAAGGGGATACCTTTTTAAACAAATAGTGTTGGAGTTAGTAAAATCCACTAGAGCGGGGGGAACAAAGGAACCTCTACCTAAACCTCATACCCTACAGAAAAATTAACTCAAATGGATCATAGATTTATATGTAAAACTATAAAGTCTTTAAAAGGAGGGAATCTTCAGGATCTAGAACTGGGCAAAGATTCTTAGACTTAACACTAAAAGCATAATCCAGAAAAGGGAAAATTGATAAACTGGACTTTGTCAATTTAAAAAATTTTTGCTATATGATAGCCTACGTGAAGAGGATGAAAAAATAAACTACAGACTAGGAATAAATGTTTGCAAATCATGTATTTGAAAAAAGCTAGTATCTAAAATATAAAAACTCTAAAAACACAACAGTGAAAAAACAATCCAGTTAGAAAATGAGCAAAACATAGGAACAGACATTTCATCAAAGAAGATAAGCAGATGGCAAATAAGCACATGAAATGAATTTCAGCACCATTAGCCATTGGGGGAATGCAAATTAAAACCATGATGAGACATCACTACACATTTATCAGAATGACTAAAGTAAAATATAGTGACAGTACTAAATGCTGGCAAGGATACAGAGAAACTGGATCATTCATACGTTGTTGGCAGGAATGTAAAATAGTACAGCTACTCTGTTGGCAGTTTCTTATAAAAACAAAATGTGCACGGTGGCTCATGCCTGTCATCCTAGCACTCTGAGAGCCTGAGACAGGTGGCTTGTTTGAGCTCACAGGCTCCAGACCAGCCTGAGCAAGAGCAAGACCCCATCTCTAAAAAATAGCCAGGCACTGGGGTGGTGCCTGTGGCTCAGTGAGTAGGGTGCCAGCTCCATATACCGAGGGTGGTAGGTTCAAACCTG